GATCCGTGCCAACAACGTAAACGTAAACGAGACATTGGAATTATCGCCGGTTCTTCCACGCAATTCCCGTGGAATTCGAGGTAATATATATATCGGAAGTAGTTGGCTCGACGATGCGGATAATACCGTTCTCTATTGCGGATAAAATGTAGGCCGTAGAAAGTCAATAGGAAGTGTAGTTTCTATTATCGATCCGAGCAGATTTCTGTAATTAATTTATCTTTTATGTTGCGTAAAGGCTGAAAAACCGATTGTTGTTAGACTGAAATGGGGAAATTGGGATGTATGGAAAAGTGGAAAGTTTGTAGACTTTGATTGATCACTTTGAGTGGTTGTGGATAGACCAGGAACAGGTATAAAGTTTAATGATTTTTTTTTTTTTTTTGAAAAAAGTTTGTAATCGAGTTTCTTTATTTTCCGTGTTTAATTTTGTTCTCAATTCCTCGAAATTGATGAAAATATAAAACAACATTATAGTTTCTTTGAATTTTCTTTGACGATACAATTTTCTCTGTAAAAGTTTCTTTTAATTATTTTAATTTCAAAGTATCCTATTTACAAATTTCTACAGTGTGGCGCATTATCTTGAGACGGTTAAAAGAACGATTAATGAAAGAGAGGAATGTCGATTTGAAAGGAGTTATAATTGAATGCCCTGGTCTGAGAATTTGGATGGACCGTTTTCGGTAACAGGTATCCTCATTTCCGATACATTAACCACGGCGAAGGACCCATTTTGAAACATCGATCCATAAAATTCGTCGAACAAGAATTATTCCTCTGACTCATACCCGTGATGTAACCTTCGTTCTTATCGCACTTTAAACAGGTGTGGCTGGATTTAAAAAAGGTTCATGGACTTTCCATTCGGTAGCATAAAGATTGAAAAAAGAGATATACACTTTTCACAACTACGCAGAGATTAATTTGAAATAACCTTTTCCAAAATAACCTGAATTTAATCCTGAAATACAAAAGCATAATAAAAAAGCGCTTGTTAACAACAATTTATGTTTTGCAATAAAATTTGCAATAAAGTTCAAAAAACGATTTAAAAATTGGATCACGTTGTTACGATGAATTGAAAGGGAAATGCAAGTTGCTTCTGTAAACCGACTACTAACTTCGAGGAGTCCAGTTGACGTAACCGATATTTTTAACCGAGCCCTTTTGTTTCACCGATGGTCCTGTTTTAATCTCGTCCTTCCACTTTGCTTCGTCCGTCGCTTTCACAACCGACGACCCCTCGTAATGTCAGCCCGAGTGTTTGATCTTTCAACGAGGTTTCCGCGAATTTCAAAGGTTCGTCTCGTGGAAGCGGCGTTTAAATTCCATGTACGGCCGAAACGGCCGGAGAAAGGAATTTGTCGTCTGCAAGGCGACTCTTTAGATACGACTATTATGCGTCCTGCGAGGCAACCATTACAGAGTGAATACAAACGAGCTTCTGACGAAGGACCAAACTCTTCCTTCAGAAACGAAGCCGTATTTTCGTAGGATAAACAACTCCCGTGCAACACGTATCGGATGGAGATCCCCGTGCGTAGGTAGTACGTTTTAATTCGCTAATCTCGGTTATTTTCACGGTGAGAAAACGTGCGCATTTGCGCACGATAATGTAATAACGACGTGACACAGTTTTCGTCGTCCTTAACCCGCGTGGAATGTTAGAAAATAATGGAAAGAGTAATGGGAAGAATAGGAAAAATAATGGGGAATGTTATTAGAGAAATAGTAGAGATTAAAGAGATGAAGAATTAGAATGTTACGTAGTTGCTTATATATCTTGGAAATTATTATTTTGATTGATGTATTGTAATGAGAATATTTAATTGGTGTATGTTCGATGCAACTTCTCAATACTGGTTGAATTTATTAATTTTATCAAGTAAAATAAATTTTATATATATATATATATAAGTTACATAAGCGAGTTATATTGATAATTAGGTTAATCAACTCTTACGTAATATCGAAGATAGTATATAATATGCAACTTTATTTAAAGTAATATTATTTATTATAATTTATAATAATAATGATGATGAATACATCAGAGATATGTAATATCAAGAGAACGATATTAATTTAATAAAAATAGATAATAAAAGATAAGAATTAAGAAAAAAAGAAAATTAATGATTAACTTGTTTTACGTTAACAATACGTTGCTATCAATTGAATTTATCTGTATCGACATTTGTTTTCCAATAAATATTTTGTATGATTTTATCGAATTTAGAATTTTTTAAAAAATAAAATGTAAAATTTTTAAATTGTTGGTATAATTAGATTGCTCTTGAAGCATAAGAAAAATTTTATTCGTTAAACGAGATCTTTTTCTCGGAAAAGAGTTAATTTATTAATATCCAATAGGAATTGGAGCAATTCCTATGATAATTCCTTCATCGGTAGTCGATAGCGATTAAATTTCAGAAATACCATGGTGTATGCGTATTCGGGGGGATGATAGGTATTCGGTCATTTCCGTCACCGTTCGGTTATGCTCGGCCTCAGCTACACCGCCCGGACCCGTCAGTCTCGCGCATGATTCCATAGTGAAAGGAAGTGTTCTTTCGCTTCGGCGCTTAATTTTGTCGCGGAAAAAATCAATGGTATTTTCATAAACGACGAACGCTAAAACGATCAGTTTACTTTATCGAAGAAATCGTAAAGACTGTCAGGTGATAATTAAGTAGTGCATTAACATATATATATAAATCGGTCAGTGATAAACGATTCCAGTGTCGAATCGCTCGTGATCGATTCCTTGTGTATATTTTGTCAAGGTGTTTTCTACGTTCTTTCGTCCGGATATTATGCTACCGATCGCGTGTGCTGCAAGATCGTTTTGACTCGAGGGGCAGTCGACCATAGATCACCGACAAAATGTTACCACAGACCCCTGACATCATTCCTACGACTTTAAATCAGGTAAGCAACACAATTTCAATATACTACTATTCCATTATTTCACTCGTATTGCGAACGTAACCTTCAACCTGAAACTCCGTTTCTTTCGATACATAGTCGGTGTGTTTTTGCTCACGGTCAAAAGCGAATATTCTGTTTATATGACACGAGTTTTTTGCTTATGTCTATTCCAAGAATTCTTAACGCGTAAGCTATACTCCAACAAATTTACTTCTTCTGTTTTTTTTTTTGTTTCGTAAACTCGTTTCGTCTGTATGGAGAAAATTTGTGAAACGCGTTGACGTAATTCGTCACTTTTTATCGAAAGTTTCACGTAGTACATTGCAAGTGCGAGATATAACCGTTCGATTATATCGATTTACTAACAGTGACAAGTTCAAGGCATTAATAACCGCCAAATTCTGGTTGTGAAATTTTTCGTTGAATAATCTTGTGTTACGAATCTTGTGAAACGTGAGTGTGGTATGATCGTTTTGTAAAATTTCGTTTAAAATGTACGAATTTCGTTGGGAATATCGCTAAATTAAATGGAATTGTATTAATAGTGATCTATTATAACAATACTATCAGAATGTTGGAGCAGTGTGCCACTCCTGTCAAGATGGCGTGGAAAAGACAAATATTTGCGGTTCATAGTTGCCGGTTCAAGAACATCGTCTTGTGGGAACAGAAAGTTCCTCATGTCACATCACGTTGTGTCAATATTATACACTTACATCCATAGTTCTTTTCAACGTAATAAACGTCAGTGGTAATTAGCGACGGATGACAGGTTAGTTCATCGATAATATCAGCAAAATCGATTAATTCGAATTCCAACGGATTATTTTGAACGCACGATCCCGGTTTGTCTCACTTACGTATAATATTGCATACTGGGGTTTCAGTAAACGGGTTTCCAGTTTCTTGACTTGCACGGAATCGTATTCGTTTTGATAAAATATACATATTTAGAATTCCAAGTTTTACAACTAGTCGCAATAAGATACGATATATAATATATAATTAAAATGTTTATTGAAGGCATAATGAAATAGTTTATTTTTTTTTTTTATTTGCGTATACGAAACTAGATACATAAGTAATGGCAATGAATATCTTATTAGGAAATTATATATTATTCGTATTATTTTCTATTCCTATAATTTCGATATAATATTTACGTTTCTTTCAATTTTTACGAATCGATGAAAATCAAAATTATAATTATTAATTATATTTATTAATTATAATTATTTATTAAATAAATGTAATTAATAAAAATAATAAGAACAAAAATGTATTATAAAAAGTAAGATTCAAGTAAACGATTCCAATAGGTTAGAAAATTTTGGGTATAATCTTAAAAAAGAATTTATTATAATTTTATTTAAATCTATCGTATCGATCATAAAAAAGTATTTAAAAAAAAATGCACATTATTTTTTAATAACAATAGGAAAAAGATAGAAAGATATAAAATGATATTGAGCATATAATGGTTTTGACTTTATGTATTCCAAATATATGACAATGGAATTCTCAGTTAAAGAATAAAGAAAAGGAAGTTACTTCATCTCTTATCCGCAATAAGTTATTTAAGTCGTTATTCTGGGAAATATATGTTTGTTTAATTAAACATGTCGGATTTTATTTAATTAAAAAAGAATAATTGGATTTTTCAACGAAATTAATCATGTTTATGACGGTTATCGTTTTAATTATGTTTAAATAGCGATAATTTTTTAACAATTTTTTTAATATTGATATCTTAATTTTTTTTTTGTAATATTTATTATTATTATAGTTTATATTTGCAATTTCAAATAATCGTCCTTATCTTCATTAACGTATAATAATAATAATCATAATTATTATTATTATCAGTGTAATTAACATTAACATGCCAGATACAATTTCCTTTCCCATCTAAACATTAAGCTTACGTTTCCATTAATTCTTGCTGCACTTTTTCCGTGTTCAAATTTATACGCAATAATTTTCCAAATATTCAAATTACTCTAATACTCTTATCATTAAAAATCTTATCATTAAATATATATTCGGTATATATAATTTATAATAATTTCCATTAATTTATTTTTCATTATCGATAATAATTATTCAAATATAATTCAAATCATGTAAAAATCTTTTACATAATCATTCTACAAACATATTTTCGATCTAATAAACACCCTACGTTTATTTTACACCCACAATTATCGAATATTCCTAATCACATCGAAAATAACACATGTGCATTCCGGTCTAACCGCAACCACATATCGATACTATTAATGGTATCAACAGTATCGTCTCACTGTTAGTAAACGCCTTTCGTCTCGCGATTCCGCGCTCCAATTAGAAAAATGAAATCGCTACAGTTCCTCGATCGTTCGTTTGATCGACATCGATCATCCTTGTGATTGATTCACTTATATTACTCAATCGTTAGCATACTTCGAAACGATAAAAAAACAATCTTGCAAGATTCTCTGGTTGACGGAACAATATCAATCTCTTCGAAGAATTTATTTCCGTGTATATGATAGAATATAAAGAAATAAAACGGAAAGACAGATTTTTTTTTTTTTAATATTGACACATCTGACGAATCGGAATTTCTTCGTTCAAGATACGTAAATTCTCTGAAATTAAATTTTTCGACGAATCTAAAACGTTGACTAATCGAGTAATATTTTTAGCGAGCCAAGAATATCCCTAGCTTTCTCTAAGAATTTTCCTCGTAAAATTCACCGACCTAGAACTGGTCAGATCGTTCACTAGAATTAATTCTGACGAATCTCAATTAAAATTCTCGTTTTAACTTTGAAATTTTCACCGATAATCCACCGATTCATCGATCGATGATGATTCATTATTAACATTAACGCTAAGTAATTCGCCAATCTACGACGAATACAAAATAACATTGAACGTCTTCAATATTCCTCTCGTGAAATCATCTTCCACGAAACTTTGAGAGATCTAAAATATCTTATGACGATTAAAATTTCCATTGCGAATGAAATTTTGGAAACGGACGAAATTCCTCATCGGTTCGTCCATTAAAATCTTGGACTAAGCGGAAGTGACCGGAAGCGATCCGATTCTCTCGATGGTACACTCACTGTCGCTTCTCGACAGGTTTCACTGTCGCAGATTTCGTCGAACTTGAACGACACGCTCGTTTCAGGTTTATCGTTCGTGGAAAGGTGCGTGACGTACGTGGCCAGAGAATTCTTAAGGCGGGCTCTTATCGATTGTTTCGAAACTCGTCGCCACACTGTTCGTTCATGCTTGTGAACAGAATTTCTAGTTTTCGAAATAAAATCATTGCTTGGAAAAACGATTGGGTAATATAAACTTGCATACGTACATGATCATGGGCCGTAATTATATCTGATTTTATATGCATATGCATGTGAATATTTCATAAATTAGCATATTATTGAATTTTAATTTCTCCTTTTTTTTTTAAACATAGGATTTAAAAGAGAAATTAATTACCTTCTTTTTTTTAAGAAATGAATTAACCTGCTTCGAAATTATTTCAATTTCTGAATTTTCAAGTAATCGGTTAAGAAAGAAAGATGAGAAAGATAAACTATTTTTTTCTTTTTTTTCATTCCGTGAAAAATACATTAATGACTCATCAGCTTTAGGAGAGGTAATTTTTGCCACGTCATACCTGCTTGTTCTAAAACTTAATCCCCTTTCCTTTCCTTTCTTTCTTTTTTCTGGGCTTTATCCGACCGAGAAATATATTAAGACGACCTCTTTCTCGTGAACGAGGATAAAACGAAAAAGGACACACAAGAATGACGTGTTCTTCATTTTCATAACACGTATTCGCGCAAATGCCTCGTACAATCAATGTTGTAATCATCACGGTCGTAATATCGATTCCGTAAGCTTTCAATTATCGACGCTTCCAGAATTCCAACTGTGAAATTTCAGTAACACGATTCCATTTTGCGAGTATCGCATACAAATTATTAAAACCTCCTCCTCGATATCGAGGAAGGATTCTTGACATTTTTCTCACGCAACAAATACATATTTTTTCGATCTCATCCAAAAGCAACAAAGCTTCTCGAAAGCTTCCATTTTTCTCAACAACGAAATAAAATTCTCGCGTCAAGTACGAAATTAAATTCGATTCGAAGCGAGCTCTCGAGGAAAAGGAGGGGGAGGGGGATAAACGTGATTATTCGGAAAAGAGAAAACTTTAATTATGTGGTTTTACTATTCTTCGGCCGCGCTCTTTGTGCTAACGATCACGTTAACGATATGCTGCTCTCGGCCTCTCGTCACGAATACCACGGCTCCTCTCTGCTTCTACATCGCTTTGCGCGTCGGCCTTTGCCTTCTTTGACGGCCAAAAACGTACGCTGCCATTGCATACGTATGTATTATTATTACCGCGATTTAAATTCCGTTTTGTGTCCCGCCAGAAATGGCCCCGATTGTTGGCGTGTCAGAAACGAAGGAATCACGGAATTCGAGATATACTCGAAACAATTTGTATCGGTTTAGATATTCGATATTCGAAGAATTTGTATATAAAACGTATAAAATTGAAATGTTGATTAAATCATTTAATACTTCGTAATATTCCAGACATATTTTTGTATAATATAATTTCGAAAAATTTTTACATTATTCATCCTTGGTAACTTTTAATGTAATGGGATTTACTTGTTCGTTTTTCTTTTTCAATGAAATAAAATAATAGGAGAAATTCTGGTATTTGCGCAAGTGCATGCGTGTTAGTAACAATCAAAGGAAATTAACGAAGGTTAATCCTTTGAATAATAAAATATAAATGTCTGTTGTAAACCTGAATCGGTTAAATTACTTCGTCACTCTGTGAATAAACGAATACACACGTCGTTTCTTCGAGCGAATCGTGAAATTAATTTTTATAGATTCGATTCGATTTGTATGTATAGATAGAAACACTTTTATCCACTTTTTCCCAAAATAACTTGCTCCCGATTTTTCAAAGGATAATT